TTTCGTATTTACTTTTTATGTTTAAAAATATTTTTTTGTAAATCAATGTCCAAAAGCTAAATTTTTTATTAAATTAAAGAATAAAGATTGACTTATTTTACACAGTCGACTTATATTTGTTTGGTTGATTTTTTACTTTGTTGATTTATTTATACAGTTGATTTATTATTTTTATGATCGTCGACTTAATATTCAGATTCTTCGACATAATTATATTTCGTTTGCTTGATTTTTTTACTTTGTCGACTTGGTTAGCCATTGACATATTTTTTATTTTTGTCGACTTAATTTCAGTTTTGTCGACTTATTTAACATTGTTGCATATTTTATTGTTTGTTTGATTTTTTACTTTGTCGACTTATTTAACCATTGATTTTTTTTTATCTTCGTCAACTTAATTTTCAGTTTCGTCGTCTTATTTTAAACTATTGATTTATATTTCGTTTAATTGTCATTTTAAGTTATCGACTTATTTAAATTATGGACATATTTTTTTTAGTTCGTCGACTTAAATTTTTTCATGCATCAATTTATTTTAGTTGCAAAAATACCACTTTTGATGTATACATTTGCAAGAGTGCCACTTAAGGGAGTCAATTTGCAAAAATACCACTAATTATATATTTTTAAAGACTAAATCTTAAAATTATAAACCCTAAAAAATGTTTTGACCCCTAAAACCGCTTAAACCTTTAAAACTAAACTTTAATACAACATAGTCAACTCAAACATAAATGATATAATGATTTTTTTTGGTTGAAAAAGTGGCATTTTTGCAAAGATTTTGAAAAGGTGGTATTTTTGAAAAGTGGCACTTGAAAAGTGGTATTTTTTGAAATTTTTCTTTATTTTAAATTACCGATTTATATTTTGGTTGGTTGAATTTTAACTCTATCGACTTGTTTAAACCACTGATTTCATTTTTTTGTTCATCGAATTGAAATATCATTATTTAAATTAATTAAATTGTAAATCATAAAATTAATTAAAACCAATTTGTAATTTTATTTAAATTAATATAAAAATATATTGTAATTTAAGTTTTAAAGATATAAATCAGTTTTTAAATAAAGTTGGAAAATTCAAATCATCTTCTTCTTTTTTAAGTTTATTTTTAAATAAAGATAAAACTACCATTTCAAGTCCCCGAATAGGGTACTTTTTAAAGTTTAATAAATTTGGTATAGATTTCAAATTTTTAATAAGATTTAAGGTATACAATCCAATTTTCTTTTTTTCTAACATGGGTTTATATGATTTTTGCATGTGTATAATAACCAAGTCAGGTTTTAGGGGTATACAAAGAATGCCATTGCATTGGGAGCTGTAGTGGGTTTCACAATTTTGGTTAGATTTTTTTTTGCAAAAAACCCTAATTTTTGAATATTTTGTAAAAAATACCTTAAATTTCTATAAATTTGCAAAAAAATGTCCTAGGGTCCATTATGAAAATGAGCCGGGCCTGATCACAATCAATATGTTATTTTCCTTATGACAAAAATTCTACATTTTCAGCCAATACTCTTTTCATATCAAAAACTCGAACAAGTAAATTTAGTCATCTTCCAATGTTGAAACGTGCAAACTTCTCATGTTAAGAGTTGAGACTCACCCTTTAGGAGTTGATTGGTTCATCCGCTATCACCCGCAAACGCAGCGTTTACGGGTGGTAGCGGTTGTTGGCGTTTGACAACAATCATGGAAAACGCTTTATACCGCTCCGTGTCGCTCCAAACCTCTCAAATCCAAAAACTGCTTCCTTCGAGCGTTTGCGGTTGCGGACGGTTGCGGTAGGATAATTACAAAATAAAAAATTGATTTTTCTTTTTATCAAAAAAGAGAAGATCTACTTA